AAAGGCAAAGTGGAAAATCGTATGTGAAGATTTCCAGTATTTTATCCGACACAGAGGGAGTTGTGATATAAGTCTTTAAACTTTATCAACGTTTTCCGAGATGAAGTTTTTAAATCGTCGTTTTTCGTAAACAGTGATGAAGGTGGTGTTAAACTATTGTTTTTCGTGAACAGTTTTGTTGTATTTCCTGTGAACTGTGATATCAGCTAATTTAACGTTTCGTAAACTCTGATGAAACATCCCTCTTCCCTACATTACCCCCCTCACAGATAGTTTTGGTGGGATGGGGCTGAGATTACTATAACACATAGTATATTATTGTTATAGTAATCTCAGACCTGATAAAATAACCAACTCTACACAAGAAAGGGTTAAAAAATAAAATAATTATGAAGAATGTAAACAAACTGAGACATCGATCAAAACGGTAACAAGCTTATTGTCAAAAAGCATGTTCCATCCACAAAAAAACGTGTCACCCCTTTCCCGTCTGGTCAGAATATCGCCAGTCGTTCATTATAAACTCTAAATAATGAAGTTTGGTATTTTATTTACCTGTAAGTACAAATATTTCATAAAATTATTTGTTTTGCACTCTCCTCCATCGACATCCATCGTAACAAAATTTCCGCTATAAAAGCGACCGAGGAAACGGTTATGAACATTTTCCGCCCCTAACGAGAAATGTTAAAACAGTGCTGTGATGAGAATTTTTTAATATATATTATATTCTTTTGACTTATTTATATTTAAGACAAAGCGTTCTTAAAACTGTTCTATGGATAGAACTGACTAAATCAATTCTAGCCGTAGAACTGACTAAATCAGTTCTAATCGTAGAACTGTTCTAGTCGTAGAACTGTTCTAGCCGTAGAACTGTTCTAGTTGTAGAATTGTCTAAAACTGTTCTAGGGTAGAACTGTCAGGATCAGTTCTAGGTAGAACTGTCTAAATCAGTTCTAGGTAGAACTGACCAAATCAGTTGTAGGTTAGAACTGTTCTAGCTAGAACTGTCTAAAAGTTGTCAGGATGACAGTTCTACATACTGTCCTAGAACAGTTCTCCTGACAGATTCTGACAGATTTGATGAGAGGTTAGAAGTGATCTCCACTGTATGTGTCATCAATTGCTCCTGAACCACTTGACAGAATTTTGTAATACATCGATACAATCTTTCAAATTCTCTTATGATGTACTTTTTCAAAGGACAATTTTTAAAGTGTTAGGTCCATAAATAATACCATAAAAAGCATGTTGGGAAAAACAACTTTTTACAAATTCATGCAAAATATTTGATGTATTATCTATTGTTCTAGGTTTCTAGTTATTTAGGTATTTAAAAATGGATCCCACCAGAATACAAAGAATAAGTCTATGAGGAAAATAAAGTCTTAGATCAACAACTAAAAACTGTAATGAACAGATAATATATGAGATCGAGATAGAACTGGTATGAAAGATGACAGTAGAACATTTTGGAAATAATTCGAAAGGTAGGTATAGCTTTACACTCAATTAGGATTTATTTAGGTAAGTATTTTCAGTTTGTCCGTAATATTTTATTTCAATAACATGAAATGTTGTAGTGCGTTCATGAGACAACAAACCAACAACGATCATATTCAAAAGAATAGAGAGCATCATACAATTCTTCAACAATTAAAATATGTCAATATGGTTAACAAAGAACACTATGGGAAGTACATATCCGTACACACAACTTCTCAGTTAACTGTTTGACAGATTGCATTGATATTGTACTCGAATAATCAGATTTATGTTAATATATGTGTTTTGGTGCCGATCAAAAGATTAGTGTCACAGCAGGACATAGTTTAACATAGGAACCTTAAGGAAATCCAAACTAAGATCTAGCTCCTTCTCTGAAACTGAATTACAGATTGAAATGATATTATAATAACAATTGCCACTGTTACTGATAATGAAAAATTCCACAAAAAGGATACAAATTTCAGATGAAGTGGATGTTAACAATTATATGCAACTGTGCGGCTTTCAACAATGAGAAAACCCATACCGTATAGTCGGCTACAAAAGATCAAGACATGAAACAATTCAATTTTGAAAAAACAACGGCCTTATTTATAACAAAACAATTGAAGAATGTCAGAGTGCAGCCCATATTGAAAACATGGAATTTTGCCTACCCAGACTTGGGGCGCTAAAATTCTTCTCCTCCAAATCGTATTAGATTAGTAACTTTCAAGTAGGTAAATCATACATTATTCCATTCTTTTTCATTCTTCTCCATGTATAGTATAAACCTTGTATTAACGTTATACCACTTTTAGCAATGCATATACACTATACACATTATGTTATGGTTAACCTATATTTTACCATATTATTGGACTTTAACAAAAATGATAACATTGAAATCTGACAGTGTTATAATCCACTTTTTTCTTTCCAGAAACAAGTTGGTAAAGATATATATCACATGCATTGGAAGAACAGTGGACAACAACATTGTCATTGAAGCAGAATTACAAAACAGTGATTAAAACATCGAATTGAGAGAGAGAAAAAAAAACATTTTGTAACGTTGTCATGCTGTTCATTCTTAAGATTACTTATTATTGTACTTGCAATGGAAGTTATTACAGTAGATACAAAGAGAAAATTAAACATTTGAGATCTTCATCTTGTTTTATTCAGTTAAGAAAAAAAATCAATGTTGCTGAGCAAACCATGTATTTAAATGGTCAACAAATATACGTTAGTGACACATCTCCATTAATTCCGATAGGGAGTGTACACGGATTCCACGCAGCTCTCATACATTACATACATACATACATACATACATACATACATACATTACATACATACATATAAGGAAGTAGTTTTTCACACTCGTAACCTCTATCAGACGTAAATTGTATATTTGTGTCATTTAATAGGCCTGGCGCATGAATATATTTGTTGGTTAACGCAAACATATGTACTCCATGAAATTTGCAATCTGATAAAAAATAAACTACAAAAACTCTTATTATCATTCAAACGAATGTTTTGTGTTTATTATTTAATTCAAATATTAAGACCTATTTTAAAACGCGAATTGAAAATAAATTTTGTTAACTTCGATCCAGATTGTGTCATTATCGCCGCCATCTTGTTTACATTGGTTACGAAAAGAAGTTCGGTCTACGTCGTCTATCGAAAAATAAACAACGTCAAGAACAACTACCGGAAGTCCTCTCAACCAATCATATCAACGTATTCTCTTATCTGCAAATCATATAAGAATTATTGAGTAATGTAGTTTTAATTTCACCCCTTCAACTTCCCGTTAACAGGATACCTATATATTCTAACACAAAGTTTAATTTATTTTTTAGTTAAATATACTCTGCAGCTAAGGTTAATGGGATAGATTACAAGAGTTGTTCATATCTAAGTTACCCGGCCTCAATGCAGATATTATTCACAATACACAAATGACAAGTGAATGAAATTGCAGCATGATTAATATATACAAATATATATCTGCCAATGACTGTCAATAAATTTATTTAACCATTAAAAATCTTACAATGGGCATATAAACGGAAATGTATTTATGAAAATTAGGACTGGAAAAGTGGTTGTTATCTAAATATTCCCTCAGCACACAGCACAAGGAGAAAAAAAACATACTGTTCAGTTTGAAGGTACCTGTCCAAGTAGGATGACATGTCTTCTAGCAGATTCTGTCCTTGTGGTGAACTAGCAAGTTAAAAATTCAACTCAGTGCAGTATTGGTCTCGTTCAAAATAGGGTAATTATTTATATCTGAGTATCATGTCCTCGTTCTGATTATGCACTTAACTTACCACTGGATGACATAACATCTATCTATCCATCTTCTCAAAAGTAATATACCCAGTTCCAATGTTCAAGTCTTGTTAAATATGTTTTGATTTGACCCAAGCAAGACACAGATACATGTAATATGGTATTGTCAAATATAAAACCTATATTAATGAGATCTTACTAAACACATAAACCATATCAATTGACCGCACCAGAATGAGATGCAAATTTGACAATGCCAAAATATTAAAAAAAAAAGCTAAAATAACTGTTGAAGAGCTGGACCTAAAGCAAAACCAAATCAGAACAAAACATCAGAGAAATAAAAAAACATAACGAAATCATCAACATGTCACAATATAGAAAAGGAATTGAAACAGGGTGAGTGGCAAAGAGAACAATTCACCTAACCCTAAAAGTTCAAAACAACCTAAGACCACCAATACCTTAATTTTGCTATCAATACATAATTACCTATTTGACTATTTTTTCAGTTCCTTTTATTTTCAAATTGGCATCACTGTATGTAAACATTGTAACCAATTGTAAGATAAATAAACTAAAGTGCACAGCTACATACTTAAAAAAATGACATCTTTTTTACATGAACACAGTGATCTATTAATCCATGCACTGAAAAAAAAGTTACTATATACTTAAAACAGTAATGAAATATTCCGTACAGATACAGTACTGACTTAATCAGTATTATAATGAAACAGTACTGAGGAAATCAGTACTGAAACATTACTGACGAAATCAGTACTAAAAAGTACTGACAAAATCAGTACTGAAACAATACTGACAAAGTCTGTACTGGAACAGTACTGACGAAATCAGTATTGAAACAGTACTGAATTTATAGAATTAGTAATTGTACAGTTTTTGTATAATAATAAACAGTACTGAATTAATAGAAAGTATAACATTACAAGTTTTTAGTCTTGCCGAACAGTTCTGATATGTACGAGGGTAGAAATGTACCAAAAAAACGTGGATAAATTCTTGGCAGTGTACATGAAAACGTGATACATATACATGAAATTTGTGAGAATCAATCGATTAAATTAAGTTCTGTTTGGATTCCACGTGAACAAAACACACACGGTGACATGTTAAGTAGACAGTCAGATTGTGATGACTGGGAGGTACAGGACGAAATATTTACATATTTAGATCACCTGTGGGGTCCTCATAACGCTGATAGGTTCGCACATGACTACAACACCAAGTGTAAGCACTTCAATTCAAAATATTGGTGTCCAGGAACATCAGGTATCGACGCTTTCACAGTTGACTGGAAAGGTAAAAATAATTGGCTTGTACCACCACCAATCTTGATTCCAAAAGTGATAAACAAATTAAAACAGGAAAAATGCAATGCTACTTTAGTCATACCAGAGTGGACCTCTGCACCGTACTGGCCTATGATAACAGATGAGAACGGGAACATGAAAGCTTTCATAGTTGCACAAAATTTTTTTCAGGGAGAGAACTTGACCAGAGAAGGCCGCGGTCAAAGCGGCATATTTGGACAACAATTTTTGAAATTTAGAATGATTGGTTTAATATTACAATTTTAGATCAAAATATTTATGATTCTTCTCTTTTTTAACAGGGACCAAATTAGATCGTACAGTAGCGGAGGCCATTAGAAATAGCGGCATCGATGGTGACAGTTATCTTTACAGGCTTTATCCAAAAATGTGCGAACTTTTAATTAATAGCAGAAGTGACAACACAGTCAAATCTTATTTTAATGCTTTCAAAAGATGGGAACGTTTTATATCTCTTCACGGACATGTTGCTTTGCCAGCTCAACCAGTGCACGTCGCACTATACCTTACAGACTTGGTTAACAACGGTTCCACTTATCATCCGGTGTATAATGCCATATATGGTATAACATGGGCACACGAAATCAACGGTTTAAAAGATCCTACCACGAACACTTTTGTTACATCAATACTAGAAGCGTCTAAAAGAGTTGCGCCAAAGAAGACTAACAAGAAAGATCCAGTTACTACAGACGTTTTGATAGAACTTTGTGATACGTTCAAAGATTGTTCTGATCTACTTGTGCTGAGAGATTTGACTATGATGCTACTTTGTTTTGCAGGTTTCCTTAGATACGATGAGCTTAGTTCTTTGCGTTTTCTTGACATTGATATACAAGATTCTTTTCTGATTTTACATATAAGTAAGAGCAAAACTGACCAATACAGGCAAAGCAATGAAGTGATAATATCAAAAGGTTCTACAATCGCATGTTCCTATAATATGTTAGTTAAATACACACGTTTGCCTGGTTTTAGTAGTCATGAGAATAAATTTTTATTTCGTCCTATCTATAGTTCAGGAAAGTTATGTAAATTGATTAATAAGGATAAGAAACTCAGTTGCACGGCGGCTAGAGAGTATCTTCTTAAAAGAATCACATTCGACGGGCTGTCGGCAAATTTACATTTGTGTTTTAGTTATATTTAGTCATGGAGTATAGGTAATACATGTATAGCAACACATATGTGTCCAATCCTCAGATCAGTGTCCTATCCTATAATCTTAATCAAATAATTTATTACATTGGTTGCAATGACATACCGAGATTTCCCAGTTGAAAAACCCGCTTATTTCACTCCTGACCGTACAACACTAATACTGCACAACATTTGTCGATTATTGAAGACCTTATTTACAATTCATTTAGAATGTTCGAAACGTATACCAGAATTAAGAATGTCAACATGAAGTAGCACGCGTTATCGTACTACGCAGATATCCTGTCGTATTTCAAAAGGATCGGTAAACAGAAATAGATGTCTGACACATTCATCAGAAATGGTTATCTGACAGATCTATAACAAACACCTACACTTAACAACTCATCGAAAAAAAAGTTGACGAAAATATTTGTTGGACGGACAGACGAAATAATTACAATATAGCCCTACTTCTAGAGTGTCAGGCTCTCATATCACGACCATTAGAGATCACAGGTATACCCTAAGTATTAAGCTTACATCCAGACTAATAATGTTATCTAAACATTTAACTGAAATATATTCATAGGCTTTAAAAAAGGAGTTACTGATACAATTCCATGTGAAAACGGACGGACGAACAGCTAGGCAAAATGACAGAATGGACGCCTTCTTCGTTATATGCTGATATTATAATTTGGTGTTGTCCGTCTAAAAAGGATGATTAAAACGTGTGACGTCTTCTGTAAAATTATATCTAGGCAGATTTAGAAATAATTATACTCACTAATGCACATATTTATTCACACCTCAATAGATACACATGTTTACAGTTATGAATAAATTCAGATGTAATAAGATTCATTATCCTTCACAAATAAATAGTTTAAAATCAGAAAAATAGAAGTAGGCCTATAGTACAAATATATATTTATTCATATTGCAGGGCTCGACAATAACGCTTGTCCGATTGTCCGGTACCAGAGGAAACAAAGGTCGGACAAGTAAAAGCTATATCAAGCTTGTCCGACGGGACAAGTAAAATTATTATGCAGAAAATAAATGTAATCCAACTTTGATGAACAAAGTAATTATAAACAAAAAACAAGAAAAGAACATAAAAACAAGTATTAATTTGACATGTTTACTTGCAATCGATAATTTAAAACTGGTTCTTTGTCAGGTACTTTTTAACAGGTTCTCGGAAACCAGTCTTACTGATCCAATATGCTGCGCTTTGTAGATAAGGTAACTTTACAAGACAGTTCATCACCAGCTCGGAAGCGATTCGGCTCCAAGTTTAATAGACAGTTTGGCACCGTAGGAGACATATTCAATAAACATAATTAATAGACAGTTTGGTAACGCAGGAGACATTTCAGGACCAAGACAAATCAGTACCTCGTTTTCCTACCTTATTCTGTTGCTTTATAACAAATACCATACCGGTAATTTTTTTAGCAAAAATATTTTTAAAATAAAAATGACCATTACATTCACAAAATCATATTTGATCATATGTCATGTATGTAGAAAAAAACAATACTTGCAATACGGTGACCTATAGTTGTTAATTTCTGTGTCATTTGATCTCTTGCAGAGAGTTGTCTCATTGGCAATCATACCTCATCTCCATTTTTTTATTGATTGCATTAAATAAACTTTTTTCAAATTAAAAAACCAGGATACAAATCCAATGAGTGTACATTGGCAATCCTATCAGACGGTGCCTCATGTGCAGAGTCTGATGAGACTTTGGCATTGATGAAAACTAGAACCTAAGTCCTGTGACATGACTAGATTCAGTTGTTCTCGACTCATATTTTTGTAAAGTATTGCAAAAGATATGTTAAAATCAAATTCTGTTCTATTGTTTTAATTCAATCAACTTAAAATGCAAAAAAGGTTATTATTAAGATTTTTTTTGGACAAGTTACAATTTCATTCGGACAACTAAGTTTTGGTATGTACTTGTCCTACTGGAAAAGTTGAAAAAAAAAGTTATTGCAGAGGCCTGCATATTGCATTTATATTATGGATATGGACACTTGAACAAATAACATAATATAAGGAAATTCAAAGGATTTTCAGTTGCTATTTAATTTTCATTTTGTAAAAAAGACCAACACCAGTAAAGTTGCATTTGTTGTACCCGAATATTTGTATTGCAATAAGGTTATATTATTACTTCATCTTATTCTATACACTTTTTACGTTGCACAAATATTTAGACTTGTATAATTGTACAAGGTCGAATAAGTTTTATTATATCTGAAATGATTTATAACTGCAAGTATGCCTTGAATTCAAAATTAGATTGTAAAATAATTTTTAAACAGTCGGCTGTTTCGTTTTTCCAAGACATAACTACGAGACGATTTGAAAGAGCTACAATCTTTGAAAATCATAACTTCTTATACCCTAGCAGTCCTCTTCTTGAAAACAGTTTCATCCATTATTTGCCAATACACTCCCTTGTCGAATACAATTGAATAGAAAACTAAAAATTTTAAATGTTCATTGGATTTTTTTTCACGGTTACTTACCTATTAGAATAAAAGGAGGTATGGCATACACGTCATGAGATATAAACTCATCGACACAAAAAATGTAAAGACGTACATCTAAATATTGAAAAAATAAAGCTGTCTCCGCATAATGTCAAGACAAACAAGTTCCGAGACTAAAAAGGTTGTGAATATCTTAAAAGAAAAATAACAAATGTCTGCCATTAACAGCAGATTCACCAAATGACAAAAACACATTAAGATAATTATGAATTGACAGACAACCACTATTTTTAAACGGTTATCAATTGTTGACACCGGCGGCCGTATGCATAGATAATGCTAACACATAACCTTTGTTATTGAATTTTTCGTATGAAATGTATGGGAAAAAGCATTGTTAAATCACTTTTATGTTATTTGAAACTCTCGATTATCTTTTGTGTATATGCCATACAATACAATAATATTAAGTTAATAAGGGGATAAACATTATATATTTGGAGGTACAGTGTGACAGAATATAAGTTCCCCATAATATTTGTTCCAAAGAACTTTTAGCATATAACAAAAGTTCCATTGGGAACTTTCCTTATATAATATTTTATCCAATGCTATAAGAAAATTTCCTTCACAAAGGATAAAATATTACATAAGGAAAGTTCACAATGTTATATAAAAGTTCTTTGGAATAAATATTATGGACAATGTTTTATATAATAAAAGTTCCAGGAATATTTGTTATATTATAAAAGTTCTCAGAAAATTTGTTATATTATAAAAAGTTCCAGGAATATATGTTATATTATAAAAGTTCTAGGAATATTTGTTATATTATAAAATTTCCAGGCATATTGGAATATTGACTATATTATAAATGTTCCAGGAATAGTTATCATGGTTATTAGATAATTAAAGTTCTAGAAATATTTATTATATGATCAAAGTTCTAGGAATGTATACTACAATACCCATAATTATTTTTAGCTACAAATGTATGGAAGTAATTTCCAATAATAAAATAACAGGCATTTTCATCTGAAATTTGTGGCTAATTTTGTGCTTGACCAAAATATAAGCTAAACTTTCTTCATTGGTACAGACTAATGGACCATGTAGTAAAGTTAGTCAGAGTGGAGCATGCAGTAATAAAATATTAAATATATATATTCTTTACCTTGTTTAGAATAAGAGCCATCGTTTAAATATGTAAAACAAAATGTTTTATTCCTCAGACTCCATTCTTCATGTTCTTTTTATGTAGTACATGTACAGGTGTGAGGTGAACATTAATTAAGATGTAATCAGGTGTAAACAAATCAAATGACACTCTT